TAAAGGCTTACTTATCTGACTGGAACGGTCGAGGTTGGGCCCTTTTGGCTGGACTCTTGTGCGGGTTTGGGAACGGTCTTCAATTTATGGGAGGTCAAGCTGCCGGATACGCTGCAGCAGATGCCGTTCAGGTTAGTTCGATTATGCACAAATATTGATTCTACACCATATAGAACCTCGCCGTAAGGTTGTCTATGAATGGATTTTATAATTGATGGGCGTCAAGCATTCAAAGAAACTCGTTTAGGTCTAAAACTCGTTCTTTTTGCTCCTACTGAAACTTGTATGAACCTTGTTTGGTGTAGCTAAAAGTCTTATTTTTAATAGGTTTGATATAAGTTGATAAAACCGATGGGGTTCGAAAGTTGATAAAAACTGTGGATTCCATGAATATGTGGTTAAAATTAATTGTTGAGTTTGACTTTTATTCTTATCAAATTTTAAGTCACACTAAACAGGGGCATAGTGTATCTTTTACTCCTTTCTTGGTATGAGTTATTTGGTAACTGCATTTGAGCATGTTCAAAAGAGGAATAAACATTGCAAGAACCGCGTTCCACAGGTATATGACTTGTGCTGTTTCAAGTTCTTTAAATTTCCTCATAAACTATGCTTAAGGGTTGTTTGATAAAACTTTTGAAAGAAGTTTTAATAGATTTCGATAAAAATTGTTAGTCCAATGAAATGTGTGATTAAAATTAATTGTTGACTTTAACCTTAACTTTTTTGTAACTCTTTAAGCTATACCGAACGAGCATTTAATTTTATTCATTTGTAACTGCAGGCACTTCCACTTGTTAGCACGTTTTGGGGTATACTTCTGTTTGGCGAGTATCGACGATCATCAAGAAGAACCTATGTACTCCTTGTGGGGATGTTGTCGATGTTTATTGTGGCTGTTGGTGTCCTTATGGCTTCATCCGGACATCGAAAATAATCCAGAAGAATGTTTGAAGAGTTCGCCAAGTGGAAAACGATGTTAAGACATAATGAAGTATAATGATCAAATACATAGGAAAAACGTACAAAAACAGAAAGTGTAGATGTGTGTGATAAAACCATTCATTATAAAACAGTACTGGATTTAAGAATCTTGCATGATTTTTCTTGTGTTCCTTCATGGATATATTTGGTCTTATATTTTTTCTATTGGAAAAGATAAAATGGAAATGGTCAAATAGTGCAATTTTCCCCTTCAACTAGCTGGAAATTGGGCTCTGCAGAAAACTCTGAGACTTGAATCTGTACAAAGATTCTACTATTAGTCAAGATGGAGTAGATCAACAAAAGTCCAGTGGAATGGAAAGACTTCTTAAAAAGTTCAGTAATAATATATAATTCGTGCAGCAACAAAAGGGTCCTTAACCCAGTGGTAGACCACTTGACTAGCGATAAAAGAGGTCACCGGTTCAAACCTAATACGAACCTCAAGTCGACTCCATTGCCCAATGCATAAGGCGCTGGTCTATAGATTCTGGTTCGATCCCAGCCGAGTCGAGTTTTTTAATTTATTTTACCTGTCAATTTTGTCTATTCTTTCATACTTGGTCGCTTTTCCGAGCGGAATTTTATGAAATACACATAAGCAAGGCAATGAAACCTCAAACACTACAATCTGCATATCATAATAGCATCTGCAGCAGAATGCCACTAGCAAAATGAAATGCTACTTTGCATCATTTTGATATATACATAGCCCAAGTGAATCAAAGTATTCGAAATACTATGTACTAAACAATCACTACATGGTTAGTCGCTTCTCAGTATGACATTTGACTAAAACGTCGAAAACTTTCTTCTTTTGTGTAATATACTCGAAACACATGAGAATTAGTTGATCTACACACAAGGTCCCCTCAACAAGAAAAAAAAATAAAAAGATACAAAATCAACTAACCTATTCGAATGGTGTGCCATTACATTAGGCAAGAAGAGTTGGAAATCACGACTATGTGTTCGAGCGGCAGAAATCACGACTATATTTTTTGAGAAATTATTATTCTAAGGGGTTAAATTTTTCGAAAAGTAGTTCATTTGGGACCCTACAAATTTAATTACTTATTGGAGGATGGTAACGTTGAAAGGAAAGGTATTTGGACAAACTTTTAGGGCCTGTTTGATAGCCCTTTATTTTCCATGGAAGTTGGAATTGAAATTCCGTTTCCTACTTTTGTCGTGTTTGATTGCACTTTTTTTTCGTGGAATTGGTTTTCCACCTTTTTCTAGGTACAATCATTTGATGCACAAAAACTTGATTTTGTTTTCTTACCTATTGGTGGGAAAACATTTTCCACCATTTTTTTTTTGCTTTTTT